GCGTATAAAAAATTTGATTCGCGACGMCGGCGATAGAAAGTATAAACAGTTTCATTGATTTAAGAAGGTTTGTAGGCTTGTTCTGCACTTTCCTCTAATCTGCTAATGTCGCTTTTCGTTCAGTGAATGAAAATTGACTATAATAAACTAAGTTATAGATGTGATTTATTTATAATTATCCAATTCAGCATTTAAATTGTATCGTATAGTTTGATCGCAAATTACTTCAAGCGAGTGTGTAAGACAAAACACAAAAGCACACAAAGCACAAAAGTCGCTCAACTAGACGCTATAAATCTCAGTATGTACATAATAAACAAACTTCATCATGGAAAGGACACTGGTGAAAAACGCATTGCGCATGTTCACAGCTTTCCGTTGAAATCTGCCTAATTTCCTTTGTAAAGCAATTTTTGTGAAAGTTTTTTTACAATTTATAAGCTCGTTCACGGATATATAAGATTCATATTTCCATCAATCATTGTTCATGATATGTTCTTTTAGTATGTGGTTTCTATTTTTATCTTGTCATTTCTATTTTGAGAAAATGAGGTTTTTCGTAGTGTTTTCTGTGHTKTCGCTGTAAATCGCCAGGCGCTCTGTTTACAGATTTCAAGACGCGAGCGCTCACTGGCGGGAAAGCTGTGGGCATAGTCCATATCACAAGCCCGCCATTTTGAATGTTTTTGCAATGTATCATGGAATATATATCTCCCTTTCTTCATCAAAACAAATCGATAAAATCGTAAAAACACTAATTAGTTTAATATAAAGTTGATAGTTTAGATTTCTCCACAGACAAAATATGTTTCTTTTCATTTTTGCTTGATTTGCCTTGTAAATGGAAATTCTTGATTAACTGTACATTTTTTGGAGGTTTTTCTTGCTGYATTTCMTTGYATGTTGATATTTGTTTGTTTTTTCGCTTCTGAGATTAACTACAATATCAATATTTCCCAATGTTTTTCGAAAACTGAGTCTACGTTACAGACAACTGGAGCACTGACATCGTTTTTTACTTGTTTACTCATTTATCAATCCCAAAATGCACTGCGTCACAAGGCTTTCCGAGGGTTGCGATATGGACTATGCGCAGTGCGTTTTTCACCAGTGTCCATGGAAAGTGCTTTTGTACGGTATTTTCGCACTCGTTGGTTTTGAATCGAAAATCTCACTCGTTCGCTACGCTCACTCGTTCGATTAAAGATTCATCACCAACTCGTGCGAAAATCCCGTACGTCAGCACTTCCCATGAAGAAATCTAATATAAAAATTAGGTAACACCTAATAGCGGAGCTCCAATAGCAATATAGAAGCTGAAAATGATTATCTAGTACTGCTATTTCAAAGGTAGATGCTCTGTTCTAAGGAATGTGAGCTACAACAGTTTTGTTGACATGCGAACAAATATTATAAAGAGTATGTTTATGAGAATTTAGTTCGTGCTAATACTGACTTCGGTAGATTTTGTTCCGTTGGATGAAGTTTAAAAAGGTCAATTGATTAAAAGTAAACTGAAAGCTTCTCGGCAAAAGGTAGTCTACATAACAGGAGGAGACGGCGGGTTCTGTTCTTCTAAATAACTGTTATTGTACGAATTTCTTCCTGGGAGAGAGAGTTTTGAGCTAYATTGCTGACAATCTCACGAGCAAATGTGGCGCCCATCCTTCTTTAAAATAATTTTGTTCCTGGAAAAAGTTTTTAAGGTTAAAAAGGCTTATATAACGTTTTTATGGTCAAAAAACCTTACATTTTTTTAGTTAAGAAATTTTAATTTTCCTGGCAAAAATTATTAGAAAATATTGTCTGCAGAGTTCTTTTTTCCTTAATTTGTCGCTGGCAACAAGTTGTGACTTACAGCTGGCTGGGACAAAAGAACAGGTATATTTCTCCCAGGAACCCGTCGGCTCCTCCTGACATAAGCTTACAATAATCAACATTGTTTCAATAATCGATGTTTGAACCCGGCCTACTCGAACTTCACATATCACAGAAAACTGTATACAAAAATATATTTTTTACCTACATTATCGAAYTTCAATTTATTAAGTCATTCAAGACTGTAGATTCTTTGTTTTTAATCTCTCTCAATCTAACTGCTAGCATGGTCTTGGTTTCGTAATGTCCACACTTTTAGTCGACAAAAGAACTTCGCATAGATCCCTGCTTTTTCCCATATTGGTCCATATTATTGAAGTATTTCCAATAAAGTATCATCTCTTTTTGTTGTCGAAATATCAAAGTAAAATCCTTCTTTCTAATATCACTTTTAAGATGGGCCTAAATTGCTTTTCATCTTCGCAAATCGATTTCCCGGATGTGCGGACGCGTCGAAGTTATGACAAAATTGGCGGGAATATTTCTGTGTTGTTATTTCGCTCTTCAGTGGATTTTTTCCTTGTTATTAATTGTTCTAATGTTATCAATATGTAATATATAGAGGATATTACATGGGCGAGCGGAGATACGGATTTTATCTTCGAGTGTTGAAAAGATYTCTCACGAGTGAGCGTAGCGAACGAGTGAGACATTTTCAACACGAGAAGATAAAATTCGTATCTCAAAGCGACCATGTAATATTCTGTTTAGCATATAATTAAATATGAAAGCAAATTATGTCGTAAAATACCTTTTTTCTTACTTCCACTATAAAGAGAAACCTCGAATGTGTTATTTTCACTAGTGAAAATAACATGTTGTTTTCACTAGTGAAAATATCAATTTTACGTAATGGAGAAATATAGGTATTTCATAGATAATTATATGATAAAAATGTTTAAGGAAATACATATACTTGGCGCTTTGTTTCCTTTTAGAGCGGAGTATGGGTTTCCTGTGGTGGTACAGGGACGGAAGGACGGACGGAAGGAAACGTGCGTACGCGCGGGAGCCCTGTACTGTGTACTGTGTACTGTGTACTGTGTACTGTACTACTGTGTCGGTCCATGGAAAATCGAATACCATGGTATACCATTTTTTCTTAGCTATGGTGCTCCGCTCGCGTGGGCCTTCGGATATGCGGATTTTTGAAATTTTGCTAATTAGCATAAAGATATAATAAAAAAATTAAAATAAGTTCATAACGTAAAAGGGCTTTGTAAGAACTACAAACTACAAACGTTTAGCATGTAGGCCTTTTGTCTGCGCATGCGCGCGAAAAGGCCCATGGACGGCCGCGTCGCTTACCGCCGGCAGATTCGCCCTTTTGTAGATGAGCGTGAAGTAAACAAAAAAATTATCATGACGGTCTCAATTCACAGTGTACTCTTTCTTGCTTCGCTTTGATTGTTTATTAATTCTGCCTAGTTTGTTAGGTCAAAGAGTGGTTGTGTAGTTTGTGGGAAAAAAAGTCAGCCAAGTGCATATTCGATCTTATGTCGACGAATTTTTTTTTGCTTCCAGGGATTCATACGTTACACAGTTCACACAGTTCACTCAGCAACACATGTGCACCATATTGATAGTGCTTTACAAAAGCGCACTATACCCACTATAATTTGACTATACCCACCCGCTTTTACAGCTTTTTAGCTTTAAAATGATGATAAACACAAGCACAGGCGATAGTAGAAATAGAAAGTTATTTTARTATATTGAAAGCAAGAACAATGCGAGTGACAAAGCTTGTATTGAAATTCTCATTAAAGTTGAAAGAATGTTTTCACGAGTAAAAATACCTTGATTTTGCTTAAAATAAACACATTTAAAGAAAAACACTCCATTTACCTTTTCCAGGAATTTCGTCGACCAGAGACTTCAAAATATGAGGTATCCGTAAGGTCAAAAATGGTTAAAACTCGACGAGACGGCAGCCATTCACGAAGGTTGAACTACAACGTCGAACGATCCGTGCTATTCAATTTTTATTTTAAAAATGACTTCATTTCTGAAATTACTAAAAGTAATATATTCACTCATTGCTGTTATTATTCACGGGCGAAAGTAAAATTTTCGTGCTAAATGACGCTGAAGTTGGGCAAATAACAGCGTACTGTTTTAACTTTTACATACAAAAGCAAGCATTAGCAAAGGATGATCGGCACTGAAGTAAAGATTGATATTGTCAACGTTGAAACTTCATTACATAAATACTCGCCTGAATATCTTGTAAGGTAGAAAATCTGAGTTGAACAGCAGGCAAAATCAAAACGAAGACAACCATATGCTCAATGAATTTTGATATGTTCAGATCATTACAAGAAATATATCTACCGAAATATAAAGCCTAGGAATACTCAAGAATAGCCAGTGTAGTCACTCRTGTATACTCTCGGTTCTCATTGAAATTATTACAATTCAAAGTGTTAAGCCTTGCGATCTAGTCTAGCAAAAACCCGAAAAAGAACAAGTTCCAAACAAAATGGYGCCCATAACTTTATTTCTCGCCCGTGCTTGTGTTTATCATCATTTTAAAGCTAAAAAGCTGTAAAATCGGGTGGGTATAGTCAAATTATTGAATAAATTGTGTGCGCTTTTGTAAAGCACTATCAATATGGTGCACATGTGTGGCTGAGTGAAGTGTGTTGTTATGAATGAATCCCTGGAAGCAAAGGTGTAAATTCGTCGACATAAGATCGAACATTTAAAAATGCACTTGGCTGACTTTTTTTTCCACAAACTACACAACCACTCTTGGACCTAACAAACTAGGCAGAATTTATAAACAATCAAAGCGAAGCAAGAAAGGGTATACTGCGAATTGAGACCGCCATGATTATTTTTTGTTTATTTCACGCTCATCTACAAAAGAGCACGAATCTGCTGGCGGGTAAGCGACGCGTCCGTCCATGAAGGGCTCATACCAGCGGTTATTACCACTAATGGTGTTTTTCGCGCGCGTGCGCAGACAGAATGCCTACATGCTATCGCTATCAGAAAATAGCTTATGGTGAGTTTTAGCAGCGAAAGCAATGGATTTTGGGTGGATAACATCAATATCAGCTCTGACCTTTCCGTACGTTTGTGTACGGAAACTCCATCAGCAAAAACATGTTACTTACATATCTTTCTTGTATCCAGCTGGTGTACCGGTCTGCTGTGATAGACGTTGAGCACGATAATTCTCGTAGTGAATTTCCTGTGTAACATCTTTTAAATCTTGCATATGGGTCCTTAAATATGTTTGAAGGATATCAGACTWCCCATGGTTCATTAACAATTATGGAATACATAAAATAATACTGAATTCTGTACATTTTCAAACTCGTTTACAGTCAAAAGACATGAAGCGCGCCCAATTCGTTATTCGCCCCCATTCGTTATTCAAYGCATTATTGGATTTTTTTTTCGTTTTCAAACTTCAGTATAATGCAAAATTGAATTCAAATCTCGAACTCTGATAATGACAGAAAACAACACAGAATTTCCAGCTTTTTGAGACCGTCATTCCTTTCTCCCGAGAAAAAACAGATCCAACAAAATTAACAAACAGCACATTGCAATGCATCGACTTGTGGAAATTATAAAAGACCAGCATGTTTACAAGCGAAATACGAAGAAGGCATAATGAAAATCCGATCAATAATCCAATGAAATTTCGAAGTTTGAATTCAAATTTGATTTCAATAATGTAATGTTGAATCGACCAAAAATCAAATAATGAATTGAATAATAGTGTTTTGAGGGGGCGCGCTTCATGTCTTTTGACTGTAACTCATGACCTCATGCCTGTATAATCATTTGATCTCTTTAGAGTCACATTACGTTGTGTATTCCGAATGCTATAGCCTGTCCATAATCCCTTTCGCTCATTTTCAACTCGTTTTGCAACCTCGTCCCCAGGGCCATCTCGGCCGACTCCTTTTCAAAATGGCGGTCGTCGGGGAGATGACCCTGGCGTTCGCTGAACTAAGCCGCTTTCTGATTGGCTATTCAAAATGCCTTTTCTTATATCGCGCTCATTACTGGCTGTTTATGTTCGTCTATATGTCGGGATGTGTTCGACAGTGTCGGTATGTCCGGATAACCGTTAGGTCTTTGATCGGTTATTGATTTATCGTTACCATGCGTTCATTGTTTTTATTCAAATAATCCCGAAGTTTAAGGTACGTTTTGTCGATTAAAAAGGAACAATATTCTTTGGAATTCTTGTCAGTTGTCGTCTTATGTCTCTTTTGTCCAATGCGTGGTTTTGAGATGCCAGCGGCTCGTGTAAGAAATTTAACTTGACATATATATTTAGCGATAGCATTCGATGTTTTAGAAGTCTTCTACTCGCCGATTTCTGCAGTGTGCGGATCCCTCAAGAATTCTAGAACGAAGTAGATCTACTCCCGTGGGCGGTCTAGGGGTAACACTGGCGATGACGGCAGGACAGGGAAGATATTCAAATAAATTATCAAAACAAAGCAAATACCGACCCACCACAGCTATCCCAGTTTGTGAAACCGTTGAGTTCACGCTCCGAGCGCCATTTTGCATAGATAAGGCACGTGATCAAAACCTCCCAAAATCTTGGAGGTTTTGATCACGTGATTCCAGCCAACGCCAGGGTCATCTCACCGACGACCGTCATCTTGAAAAGGAGTCGGGGACGAGGTTGCTCGTTCTACACAGTGTTTCATCCCCCATTTTGATGAATATTATCTCTACTAACGAATATGGGACAGAACATGAAGGTTTACGACCAAACTCTGGGTGTTCGTCTGGGTGTTCGGACCAAGGGAATGTTGAATTATGATGACGAGGAGATCTCAAATACAGAGATCAACACGCTTAGTACTCGTGAAGCAACGGCAACGATTATATAATGATTGAATATCAATACAACTCTTTAGAAAATGCTTCTTAGTTTCATGGCTATTCAAACATCTGCAATGGATATGTCGAGTTTTAATGTAGATGTGCAGAAATATTGTGTTACCATCATATTAACAAAAAGTTTTAACTTATAAAATAAATCGTCACGTTGTAACCAAATCATGCCTAGTTATATATCTGACCTTAAAATTATACTGCAGAATCACAACGACGGATACAGCTGAAATTTTAAGAGCCACCACATATAGGCTTATCGCAAAAATCACATATATCTTGGCAAGGCTCGAAGGATCAAATCATTTTTTATTTACTAATGATTTCACAACATCATGTACAACAAAGGGTACGTGTCAACCCTGCATACAGGGTCTAGTTTACTTTCTATTCTAATGATATTTAAATGTAAGTTTATTTGATTCAATTTTTAAAAAATACAGGGGACCATAAGTATTTTTTACAGCGTTCTGCACTACTACAAAAAGCAGTGACGAATTTTTCGCTTTTTCACTATTTTTCTTTTACTAATATTTGTAATATTAGGTATGGTTTTCGCGTCATAAATCATTAATTTGTTTGAGTAGCCAGACCAAAAACTTGTGCATGGCCAGAAATTCCGGACATTTGAGCCCGGGACGAGCCASCKGGCTTTCCCACCAAAATAGAGCTTTGTACAAGTTCCCTTGGCAAGGTTTGAACTTTTGATGATCAAATTTTCTACTATTGTGCAACGATCCTTACCCTGGTCCCATATGGGGTACAATCCCCGCCAAAAATCAATTTTCAAARCGCARCATTCGACTTTACATTCCGACATCAACTTCGCATTTCAACATTTGACTTTGCAAAGTTCAAGCTTTGAAGTTGCAAATCAGTATTCGTTACATGGAAAATCAGCATTCAACTTAGCAATGGTTAACATTTTATTTGAAATACCAACATTTGACTTTGCAAAGCTCAACATTCAACTTCGCAATTCAAATAAATTAGGCCGAGATCAACATTCAAATCCAGAACTGTCTGAACACATAGTCCCAGAGGTTTGATATTTTCTCTCTTCGTTATTGTTTTTGTCGGTGCGAAGCGCCGTAATCGAGGCCGTAAGACCGAGCGAAAATCAAAAATCCTGATCCTTGAATTCATTAGTGGCTTGTGAGGTGCTCGTTCGGAATGTTCATAGTGTAGATAATATTATTTTCTGGTACACACGTTTGCCTCAGGTATTTTAAACAATGATCATCAGTTGATATTGTGATCTTTTGTTTATACTTGTACATTTCTAAGGAATCTAAAAGGTCTGACATTGTTTAAATAGCGTAGACTTGATTGGTCTAGCTTCTTCGCGAATTTTCACCATGAGATACAAGCGCAAAGGAGACTACTAAAGGAAAATAAATTTGTCAAAAAGGACGCTCTTAACAATGTCAATATTGTATTTATTTGGATTTCCTACMGTGGAATCAAGAATAGTTTCCCTCTATAGGAATTCATCTTGGAAAACTTTCCAGGTAAAACAGATGAAATGTTATTCTCAAATAATTTTTTTGATCCGTATATTTCTTTGTAAAATTTAAGAAACATGTTTTTGTGCTTTATGCGAAGTACCGCTGCGATTGCGGGCTCATATGTCCGGATTTTCTGGCCATGTTCATGTTTCGTCAGGGGAATCCAAATACCTCGAAACAGATAAAAGCACTCGGCCTGCGTCCTCGTGCTTTCACCAGTTCCTCGGTATTTGGATGAAACACTCACACTCGTTTTAGATCGTCTTCGATCTATTACATGAACAACTTACCGAACAAGCATRTTACGAAGCATCACAAAGTCGCAATGATCTGGATTTTCCACTAAACAAATGAAAAGGAAGGCTAAGCCGGTTTGCAATAGAAAAAGAAACTTGCGTACATGATTGCCGTATTCGATTTGTGCGTATGCAAAATTCGAATCCTATATAGCCGTTGGCGTAATAAGAGCTTAAATGTTACCTTCAGTGTATCCCCAAGGATACTGCCTTACTCGTGTTTTACGTCCATTTAAGTCCACAACCCGGTTGCTGCCAATAACAGCGAATGGGACACTCAGCTAAGAACCACAAAAGGGATTCATGAGAAAAAAATCTCTCCATCACGGATTGACACGGAAGAACTTCATTACTAAGCTCCGTCATTTCTTGCAGCATTCGMATTGCATTGCGACTTATAATTCATGAATGCTTTTTCGCGCAAAACCATTTCTCGCGATTCCATACTTACGATATTAAATCTTGTTAATATTTTTACAAAAAGTGTTCCGAATTAGAACTGTTTCAATTTAGAGCGACACACTATATCGCTCGTTATGATAGCTATAAGTATATATGATAGATGATAATGCAATATTCTCCACTCTCAGGAGATACCTTTAATTCCTGATTGATTTCAATGAATTCCTCGTCGTCATCGCTTTCACTGTCAGGAAACGTGTAGATTTTAATAGAATTATTTTCCATTTCGTTCAAAATCTATGGTTGGACAAAAATAGGATTACAATGCAATCTATTCCTTAAGGAGCTTTTACACTTTGCAATTTTCTCAAGCAATAGGCCTTTTGCATGAAACGGTCACATAAGCTGCAGTTGGCAAAATACCCAACGGGATGTTCAAAACAAAGAAAAGTCAAACTTGACGGGATGCGTTCCTTTCGGGGTTTTTTTTACATTATCGTTAAAACAATAGATTATGTTTTGATGTAATGTCATAATGAAATTGGGCGAGAGCTCCGAGCCCCATCGAGGACGAGATACAGGAAGACCGTGAGATGAATTTTCAGCAGATATGAATAAATAAAGCAACAAAGCAATTTACAGGAAGGTGAGTGACTGACTGAGTGTTGAGTGAATGTATATCGTTCACCTATACAAAAACTCCGAGTTARAAACAATCATCACGAAAACGGATTTTCGACAATTATTGAAATTCTTAAGTTAGTCCCAGTATCCCTAAACATTASGGCAAAGGTCTGCATTATAATTTAATATATCAGTCTAGTTTTGCTAAAACACCAWCCAACTTTTATACATAACCGATGCTGTAACAAACTTTTATAGCAAAATGATTACTTTCTGATGACATGACCATACCTTCCTCTTGAGAAGGTTTAATTCATTCTTTGTTAATGTATCTGCTTTGGCGATGACAGGAACTATATTAACCCTATTGTGGAGCGCTTTCATAAACTCTACATCTATTGGCCTCAACCTAAAGAAAAATAACAGCAACATCAACATCTTCGACAAAATTGATGTATGTAAACATCATATTTTCCACTTCACACCAGAGTTACTAACTTTGCTCACACTTATATTAGGAATATCTTGCACAAAATCGAGTCTAATCTCGACTAATAGGTCCATGTATATACAAGTCAAATCATCACTTCACAGCCGGCCTTAAAATCAATTCAATGATGTTACGTACCCATGCCCAAACGGGCTAATAAAGTACATACAACAGTGTACTCTTGTGTCGACGATATTTCTTCTATTCAATCCAGATTCATCATGAAGATATGACTCAAACTGTTTGTCAATGTAGTTGACAATTGACTGCCAGCTAATCCGAAAAAAACGTAAATACACAAAGTTAGCGATATTTTTCTGTCAAAATCAGGAATAGAAATGGACATTATAAACATGAAGCATGGAGTAAGGAACGAACGACCTAAGAGAGCCGAAGATTACGCCTGGGTTTCCGAGGATGGTATCAAACAATTCCACTTTTGAGTTGTTCCGAAACTGAGTTTTCCAGGATACGAATGGATGACACCTATTTGTCAAAAAAACTGCCAATGCAAATTTCCTCTGAACAATGTATAATTAGTGTATTTTCTTTTATGGGCTTATGGTCGCTTAGGGTGACAGTACTGATTTTATTTAAAACACGCAGAATTGTTGGGAGAACAGGAAATAGGATTTCAAAACGAACCGAAAACAAGGAAAATATCTTCGCGCGTTATATGAAAACAGGGGAGGCGGAGCCGGAAGGGCTAAAGTCCCCCACCCCAGTATTTTTGAAATTTCTAAAAATTAAWTTTTTTGTAAAATGAAAGCTTGATTAATAAAAAGGTATTTTTTGACCACAATATTACTTAATCTTCTTTGCCCCCCAGGGTCAAAAACGCTGCCCCGCCCCGTCTCAGAGTTGTTTTATAAACTCAAAATGATRGGAAATATAGCGGTGAACGTGTGTGAGGTGCGTCTGTTTCTCTAAAGAAACACTTGTGTAAAAAGATAAATTTAACACCGTAAAAAGTAGGTGAAACTAACAACTCAAATCGACTGACAAAAGGGAAACAATGGAATTACCGAGAGTGAAGAGAAAGGAAAAGCAAAGATATTTTGTGTGTTTTGATGTTTTTGTGGGATTGTGCATGGTTATCAGCCACGGTGTGAATCGGCCTTAAGAACTATAGCTTTTATTTAATGACTTAATCTACGAAGACCACTCTGAAAAAGTAGTAAGTAGTATACCAATCAAATGTAATACAAACCAAGAACTATTGTCTATGGCATCACCAAAGCCTGGAGTATCAACAACCGTAAGTTTTAATTTTATTCCCTTTTCCTCGATCTCAACAGTATTAGTATCAATGCTGACTGTCTGGTGCATTCGATCTGCAAACAGAATACGAGTCAGCTGTATATATTCATAATTAAACAGTGTACATATTTAAATTCTTTTTACAAATAAACATTTATATCTATTTTTATATATATGATATCAAAGAGGCAAGATTTTGCTGTAACTCCGAGTTTCGTGCTATGCACTCATCAGACAGTATTTAATGATAACTAGCTCTACACTTTATGTGTATTGAGCACTCTTTAATGGGATCAGCTACTTCCTCATATGATTATCTATTTTTATATCTTTTTTCATGAATTTTTACAAGAGTATTGTAAAGCGCATCATAACCTGGTGGACATTTTGCGCTATATAAATACAATTTATTATTATTATTATTATTATTATTATTATTATTATTATTATTATTATTATTATTATTATTATTATTACTATTTTTCTATTATATTATTAAACTAAAATACCACCACTATGTGGTGCAGGTTTTTTGTTTTCGAGAAAACCTGAAACGGGATGCCATCCTTTCTCTATTTTGCTTTTTCGAGTCGCTACGCATCGATAGTCTCTACGCAGCACAAAATAAGAACAAAATCTTAAGAGCATATGCAGAAAACACAAAGAAATGAAGCCAAGGGTATGACATAACTAAGCACAAGCATAAAGCAACACAACAGTAGAATTTTATTCTACAGTTTCATTTCTTACTGATTGCAGGGGATAAACTTGTGTCGTCATAGAGATCTGTTAGAAACAAACTTTCTACAAGAGTGGATTTCCCAAGACCTGACTCACCTAGAAAACGATATTAACAGGCAATATATTATTAAAGTTAAAGGAGAAAAAAGGTCTTAGCACAAATAAATCTTATGGTAAGATTTGGTATCAGATAGGTTAGCTTAATATGTAATTCCAAAAATGACAGCAAAATACATCTGAATAGGACTCCAAAAAATWATTAATGTACAATTGTAGCATTCATATGTTACAGAAATGTTGTTTTTCTTCACCTGAAATCTATCCTTTCAATTCATTTTGATATTAGTCACCTCCCCTTTTGACATCTTTTCGAGAGAAATCACTGAAAGGTTGCCCAGGAGCTGCCATTATTTATTTGCCCCAATCTCCCTCAGATGGGTGTATGACCCTTCTCCTTATCAACTTCCTGTCTGAGCATGTGATCACTCTGACCCCAAATTTCACACAAATGTAAATTGTGCGAGTCCTCGGGTGTGCTATATGATATAAAGTGACAGACTACACTGGAAGTTGTAGGAGCTACAACAACAGATTAATGATTATTTTGACTTCCTGTGATGCATAAAAGCAATGTGATACATGCAAAAAGGTAAAACTAAAGTCCTTCTACCTACCGCTTGCCTGACTAACACTCTAAGCAATTGTTAATAGATGAATCCACCCCAAACAAATTTTGAGCTTCAAAGGCCAAACAACGCATGTAGTTTAGTTGCATTGGTAAAGCACTGCACCAGCATCACAGCTGGATCATGGGTTCGATTCCCATTGACGCCAAAAACTTTATTTGGATGATTTATTTATTGGCAATTGCTTTGGTTTTGACGATCACAATTTGCTTACATAAATTTTCATTATCACAGTAGTGTTATTTTTAATATAATTATTTTCAATGCCCTACTAAAGTATACACCTAATTACAAAAACGTTGTCCTGAGAATTAGGGATTTAGGAAATAAGGAATAAATACAAAGACAAAACATGACCACTGAAGCCGAACACTTTCTTTTGTATTTTACTTAATTCCTAAATAGTAAAAGTTCTTTTTTCTTGGACAACGTTTCTGTAATTGTACTGGTGTTCTATACAAAATCGCTTTTTTTCTATATCGGTTCAACAACTGTCTTGCTCTATGCAAAGACTCAGCTGTATTGTACCTTATAACTAAAATGTACCTTATTACTTACCAACAACCATCAAAGTAAATTCGAAACCTTTTTTCACTGATTTTCGATGCACTTGGTTTGGTAAATTTGCAAATCCCACATACCCAGTTTCCTGTAATCAGCATATACAATTGTAATTAACAGAACAATTTATAAATTAAAAAAAAAAAAAAACAGAACAATTTATTATTGATTTAGAAGATATGTCATTTTTCCCTGTTTTTGAAACAAACAACATAGGATCTCAAATTTCCATTCCTTTTATTCCTTCTTGTGTTTCCCACCTCCTTGTTTCATATTCTTTATTAATTCATTATTTGTTTCCCATCAATCCTTTTTTACAGTTAAGTAGTTCCCATTTCCTCTCTATTGGATAGACCCCTACCAGATTGTGGAGGAGAAAAAATATTTTGCTTTGTACCCTACATAAAGTTACTTTTTGAAAAAAATTAGAAATTCAAAATGAGTACTTTTAAAAACACAGGGTACCCAGTTCAGAGTTTTATAAAACTCTATTGAAAAATTCTAAAATACCATACAAAGAATGGTTATGAGTTTTGTGATAAAGCAAATGTATTTGTGTCTTCTACAAGCCATAGTTACAGGCTGTTACATATAGTGTGTGAACTGCAGGTGCATTTTATCTACAAGTCAACACCCCCAGCTGAATACCAGTCTGTCCATAGTTTGTAGAGGGAAATGGTTAGGAAGCCTTCTGTTGTTTTTGTGCACTTTTTTCCAAGTGTTAACGGTGTACTATATCTTTTGTAATTAAACTTATTGTTTTAGCCATACAAGTTCACGAACAGATGACTATAAAATGCACAAATTAAAATATTAAAATGCTGTATGAGAAAAACAGCAAAAAAGCAACAATCTGTGTGAGCTCCTTTGTCGAGTGGACATTTTGAAACCAACACCATGCCTGGCACTGGATTGAGAGAGATTTAAAACAAAGAACTGGACAAAATTGTAGTCTTAAATGACTTTATAAATTGATGCAATTGTGTTTGAAATAAGTATGATTCTATTGAACTGAGATGGTATTTTTGAACCTGATGATTAAGGAGGGTTTATGTCTTTGCAGGCCAGTACTGGTTTGCTTACAAATGGGAAGGCTCGTTTTTTCATAACGCGGTCCTAAATAAAATATTTAACTGGTAACTAAATTAGTTCAATGCACAGGTATGGTGAGTTAGAACTGGCTGCTAGAATGAGCAGTTYATAACAAAAGAATTTTAAAAAAGAACACCGATCTGTTTAGGGGGTTCTCCCGATTAGGGCAGTTTCTGCGCCAGGACCATGATCAGAGTGACAATCTCCTTTGTTTACTAAGACACCCAACATTTTAAGACTGCAATGAACACTAGAGCGGATTTCGTATGAGTGGGACACMGTTACCGCACGGTTACCGCACAGTTACCGCACCTGGCCTGCGCAATTTTGGTGAACCAATGGGGCACTAGAATTTGGTTACAGTACGATTACGGTCACAGTACAGTACCGCCCGTTTCCCACTCATACGAAAACCGCTCTATACAGGGATTCTACAGCAATGGCTACAATAAAAGAAGGTCTGTCCTGTCTGTCTGGTTAATTTTAACCTTGATTTCCTTTTTGACCTTCTGCCAAGCCCAGCTGTGAATCTGCCTTAATTCACAGCCATTGAATGAATTAGTCTCTTTTAAACATTTTATGAGTGAATAAATCAGATTGCATAAATTCAAATTAAGTTTGTTGTTGAGAGAGAGAATGAGAGGAAAATAATAAAAATCTGCACAAAAAAAGGATATTTGGTACCCTCGACTTTTTTACCCTTGACTCTCGACTTTTTACGCTCGACTCTACCCTCAACAATAGCTCACACTTAGTTCTAGATAATCATTCTGTTCTATGGAGCTCCGCTAGGTGGTGTTACCCAATATTTTTATGTTAACGCATACTCATATCATACTTTCATTTTACTGCCTCAAAAAAAAATCCTGTTTCGTTTCGGTACCGTTTCGTTTTGGTGTTTCGTTTCAATGTTTCGTTGCTTAGAACTCCCTTAATTCTCTAAATTAGTAGATGTAATAAACGATATCAAACAAAGAAAAAATCAATACCGATATTAATACAATTTCTGTATACACATGTAATTAAGTTTAAGTCGACATCCTCAGAGACATCCAAAGTTGCATATTATTACATTTCTGTCACTAGACATCTTCAAAAGTACAGTACACATTCAGTTAGCAACACCTTTCCCAATTATAAGCAGGCGAGGTATAACATTTAACAAATATCACGTACCTGGCCTGATGTGGTCCACAATGTACATAAAGACAAACAGACATCAGATAATTAGAAGTGTGCCGCAATGTTTAAAGTAAAACACAAAATTACTACCTTCTTTAGCTGTGTTTTTCTTCATAACTCTATTCCACTCCACAATCGACAACGATAACAACAAAATGGCTTCTGGAATGCTTCTCATGCATGAGTGGATTTAATAARTGTCCTCGATACATCCTGACCACTTCCGGTATGCAGTGAATTCGAGTGTCGTCCTCCCSTCCTTTTGTATCTATCCCGCCCTTATAAGATTTGAATGATAAATATGTGTTTTAGTWAAGTTGATAGCACTTTTCTTCGAAGAAAACAAAACTACTCTCTACTTTYTTGAAAATTTGATTTTTGGACAAGTTGAGTTCGTTAGATGTTTCCCGCCAATACGTCAAAACTTCCGGTTAATGAGGCCGCAACGACGCCTGGGAAGCATTTAGAAATTGAAAGCAATGGCCGCGAATGTAGTGTTTGATACGATGAAAACATTGCCATAARAAATCACAAATCATATCAAATAGACAAAGAAAGTAACGCAAAATGTCGTATAAATTCTAATGTTATAAAGCCGATTATTACATCTCAATACTAAATTTAGAAAAGCGCGATCAATATGGTTTCGACTTCAGCCACTCCAACTCCATCAACACAAACATCTTCGTCTTCATTCTATCTTCTACGAAATGAAGTCCCAGGTGAGTAATAAGAAATATAACATTTATATTCAAACAGTACACGTATGTGTTGGGTTTATTAYCAATAATATTTATTCTGTAGCTACACCAAGTGAAGCCACAGGAAGCACCAATCTGCTAGTCGAGCATGGACTCCAGCAAGTCTACCACAAATTTTGCAGCAAAAAAGTTAAAGACAGTCTGAGTGCCTTTCTTCCTCTTGTATCAGGTAAAATGCTATTTTTGAAGAATTGGTGACGTCAAAAAACTATTAATTGGTATTTAGAATTTTTAAAAATTCGCTTTAATTATACTTTCTGTGAATGTCGAGTCCTATATTAAAGTCGCGACCCCAAAGTCGAAAGTCTTAAATGTAGTTAAAAAAGCCATTAAAATGCTCGTCAATATCCCTGACTATATACCCTTTTCCTGTCTTTCTCGGATAAAAACCATGTTAGTACTTTGATAAATATTCCTTATCGAAAGGTGGTAGTCCTTACAGTGGTTTATTTTTGTAGGTTACGTTGATGAGAAGGGATCAACACAAAACAGGTACAAGCTGCTGCTTGCTTCATTTACTCACAGTCCCTGAAATGTAGTATAACTTTAACTGGTAAAATTATCTCSTGCTGTCTTGTGTTGAAAAGCCTATTGAAACAATTGAATTTGTTTTTGAGTGGATATAAAAATATTCTAAAACATGAGTTTGGTTTTCACATGATGTAACAGCTACCATAGTGTACACCAAGCAAAAGATTTTTCATTAACTTCTATTGCTATCTGCTCAAAAATGGTTGCCATTAGAGGTTTCTCTACATAGTGGAAGTAAGAAAAATGGTATTTTTTACAACATAATATGCTTTCATATGTAATTTAGTTATGTATATGATATAGAGGATATTACATGGGCGCGCGGAGATACGGATTTTATCTTCGAGTGTTGAAAAGATCTCTCACGAGTGAGCGTAGCATTCACTTGGATGAACACGAAACAATCACTTCATTTCGAGGCTGGAGTTTTCGACAAAAGATAAAACTCCAGTCTCGAAATGAAGCCATTGTTCCGTGTTCATCCCAGCGAAYGCGGGATTGGTCTATTATGTCRTAAAATAGCTTTTTTCTTACTTGCATTATATAGAGAAACCTCAAATGTGTTATTTTCACTAGTCAAAATAACATGTTTAAAAATAACATTTTACGAAATGGAGAAATATAGGTATTTCATACAAGATAATTATATGATAATAAACAGAATATTACATGGTCGCTTGGAGATATGAATTTTAACTTCTCGTGTTGAAAATCGCTCACTTACTCACTCATGAAAGATCTTTTCAACACTCAAAGATAAAATCCGTATCTCCACACGCCAATGTAATATCCTCTATATCAGCATATTTCAAGGTGTTGCGTATGCATATTTTGATTTTTATCGTTTTTTTTTATAGAGTAAATGGTATAAATAAAAATCTGTATGCTATATTTTCACATGTGAAAAATAGAGATACGTCCAATCAGAAGCGCGTATAGTATTTCTCATGTGAAAAATATAACCAATCATAATCAACAGAAGAACCGTAATCAACGGGTCCTGCTAATCTGCTGGCTGCGGTTTGCGGGCTAAATATTGTGGGCTGCGGGCTAAATATTGCGGGCTGTGGGCTAACATTTGCGAACGAGGTTGTGACTTTGTGAGTTTGTTTTCTCTACTGTAGGCTGGAGGTCAATAGAAGTAAGAGTCGAATCTCCCTTAAGCGGATGCTTACATGTACATGTATATAGTATAAATAGATCATATTGAATATGATCTATTTATACTATTAATAATAAGTTGTCAGTTTTATWGCATGCTTGTGAATGATAGGACTGTATTTTATTGTTGTGCATGCATGCCATTATATTCAAAGAAAGTGGATTAAAGATTACTTTCAAATAAACTGGTTTAAAAATAGATTAGTGGATAGAGGATTTTGTTGTGTGCCAAGTTTATCGCGCGCGATGAAAAAAGAGAAACTTCGAACCTAAACTTGAACAGAAATGTTGTGTGCCACAGTTTTTAACTCGAAGATTGCRAAGCAATCGAAGAGTTTTTGGAGGGGGACRAGTCTGTCACTCACTCAATCACTCAGTCACTCACTTTCCTGTAAACTTGAGCCTGCGTTACTTCAGGACTATTCAGAACTATTAATTTATTCTCATTGTTTTCTAGTAATTTATTCATTAATTTGCCGTTACCGGTTCCCTGTTCTACAGAAATCTAAAGAAATGTCATCTCCTCTGAGTCTCGAATCTCAGACCTTTGATTTAGAAATCGAAAGCACTTCCATTCGGCCATGCATACCAATGTTAAATAATTGCGGTTAGACTTGTCTTTTAACTGCAGGTTCTCGCTCCTGGTTGTCAAAAATCAAAGTTAAAAATAATTAGATTGTAACTAAAAAGAAAACTGTATTCATAAAATAATGTAAAATTTTATTTAAAAAGTAATTATAATTTGATTC